GTGTAGGGACAAAATTAGAAAGGCCCAGGCACAAAATGAGATTAAACTAGCTAGAGACATAAAGGGTAAAAAGAAAAATTCTACAAATACATTGGAAGCAAGAGAAAGGCCAAGAACAGGTAGGCCCATTACTGAATGAGGGGGGTGGGAACAATAACAGAAAAATGTGGAAATGACAGAAGTAATAAATGACTTTTTTGTTTTGGTTTCCACCAAAAAGTTTAGTAGCAATTGGATATCTAACGTCATGAATGTGTGTGAAAATGAGGTAGGACCAGAGGCTAAAATAGGGAAGGAACAAATTAAAAATTACTTAAACAAGTTAGACGTCTTCAAGTTACCAGGGCCTGCATGAAATACATCCTAGATCTATATTGAATGCTCAAGGAGCTGACTGAGAAGATATCTGAGCCATTAGCAATTATCTTCGAAAAGTCATGGAAGACGGGTGAGATTCCAGAGGACTAAAAAAGGGCAAATATAGTGCCTATCTATGAAAAGGGAAATAAGGACAACCTGGGGAATTACAGACCTATCAGTTTAAGTTCAGTACCCAGAAAGATAATGGAGCAAATAATTAAGCAATCAATTTGCAGACACCTAGAAGGTGATAAGTAACAGTCATCATGGATTTGTCATGATCAAACCAGGGCCAGCCCCAGGCACCAGCGCAGCAAGCAGGTGCTTGGGGCGACCAATACAAAGGGGTGGCACATCTGGGCCTTCAGCGGCAATTCGGCGGCTGCTGAAAAATGAAGCCGAGGCAGTTGAGCTGCCGCCGAAGTGCCGCCGATTGCGGCTTCTTCTTTTTTTCCCACCGCTTGGGGCGGCAAAAACGCTGGAGCCGGCCCTGTGTCAAACCAACCTAATAGCTTTCTTTGACAGGGTAATAAGCCTTGTTGATGGGGGAAAAGCAGTAGATGTGATATATCTTGACTTTAGTGAGGCTTTTGATACTGTCTTACATGACCTTCTCATAAACAAACTAAGGAAATACAACCTAGGTAGAGCTACTATAAGGTGGGTGCAAAACTGTTTGGAAAAATGTCTCAGAGTGTAGTCATCAGTGGTTCGCAGTCAAGCTGGAAGGGCATATCGAGTGGGGTCCTGCAGGGATCAGTTTTGGGTCCATTTCTTTTCAATATCTTCATCAATGATTTAGATAATGGCATAGAGAGTACACTTATAAAGTTTGCAGACAATACCAAGTTGGGAGGCGTTACAAGCACTTTGGAGGATAGGATTAAAATTCAAATTGATCAGGACAAACTTGAGAAGAGGTCTGAAGTAAATAGGATGAAATTCAATAAGGACAACGGCAAAGTACTCCACTTACGAAGGAGCAATCAGTTGCACACATACAAAATGGGAAATGACTACCCAGAAAGGAGTACTGGAGAAAGGGATCTGGGGTCATAGTGGACCACAAGCTAAATATGAGTCAGTGTAACACTGTTGGGAAGAAAAAAAAAAGCAAACATAATTCTAGGATGTATTAGCAGGAGTGTTATAAGCAAGACACAAGTAGTAATTCTTCTGATCTACTCCATGCTGATTAAGCCTCAACTGGAATATTGTGTCCACTTCTCAGCACCACATTTCAGGAAGGATGTGGACAAATTGGAGAAAGTCTAGAGAAGAGCAACAAAAATGATTGACATTCTAGAAAACATGACCTATGAGGGAAGATTGAAAAAATTGAATTTGTTTAGGCTGGAGATGAGAAGACTGAGAGGGAACGTGATAATAGTTTTCAAGTACATAAAAGGTTGTTACAAGAAGGAGGGAGAAAAACTGTTCTCTTTAACCTCTGAGGATAAGACAAGAAGCAATGGGCTTAAATTGCAGCAAGGGCAGTTTAGGTTGGACGTTAGGAAAAACTTCCTGTCAGGGTAGTTAAGCACTGGAATAAATTGCCTAGGGAAGTTGTGGAATCTCCATCATTAGAGATTTTTAAGAGCAGGTTAGACAAACACCTGTCAGGAATGGTCTACTCTAGATAATATTTTAGTCCTCCCTGAGTGCAGGGGACTGGACTAGAAGACCTCTGCTTAAAAAAATGCATCCCTCCTCTGCTTCAGAGAAGTTGATGGCTGCATGTATCAACTCTTCTCTAGTAGTGAAGCAGAGGTCCTTGTGCATATCCTCTTGTCTACCCATGCACATAATGGTCATAGAAATCAATGAAAGAGGCATGGGATAGGGCACCAAGAACACCTGAGTTCTAATCTTGGTTCTGCCAGTGAACTCTGCAAAATAGGGATAACAATTCTTACTCCCTATCTTCCAGTGGTGCACTTAACATTCATTAGCTAATATTTTGAAAAATAATATATTATTAATTTACAGGCCCTGTGAAACCAAGCATAAGAGGATATAAACTTGGTTTCCCAGGCAGTGTTTCTATTGCTATTGTGGATAAAGCCACAGTTGAAACACTTTTAAGAGATTCTCTTGTCTAACTTGCAAATGACTCTTTGGATAAGCAGTATGCTGTTCTATAGTTTTTCCATGTCCAAGCTCTGGCGACGTTGCAGGAAGGAGTAGCCTGTGAAACATCAGTGAAGTTAACCTTTGACACATTGTCAGTCCAGAAAATGCCATACAAATAAATGTTTAGAGAATATGTGTGCATATGTAAACATCCGGGACATCTGAATAGATACATTAGTCCACATTTTCCAAGGGGTTAAAGGAAATTAACAAGTGAGCAGATTCCATATGGACAAAACTATGGGCCAAACTTTGTTCTTATTTGTTTGTATAGCCCCACTGCCTTCAGTGGCATTGCATGGGCCAGGCAAGGGCAGAATTTCAGTATTGCCAACCCCAAACACTCAAAAATCATGAATCAGGCCCCTCCCCCCACCCCACACCAACAAAAATGGCCTTGGCTTCTTTGTATTTGCCGTCTGGGTTTTAAACCTTTAGGTTTTGCTTTTTCCAGCTTTTCTCTGCAACCATGAGGACCACAAAGTTTTGCTTTGTTTAGTTTAATGGAAGCTGAGATTCTCATGAAATCACATGCCCCCTCCCCGCGCTGGGGCTTTAAGAAAGACACTAAATATTCCAATTCCTAGAGCTGCCAATACCTCTGAGCCAATGATTTTAAACTAATACCTAAATAATAATAAAATACCTCGTTCTTGTATAGCACTTTTCATCAGGAGATCTCAAAGCTCTTTACAATAGAGATAAGTATCATGATCCCTATTTTACAAAGATCCTTCTCCATTACTTCCCCCAGTGTCCTGCAGAAGGATTCTGCAGAGCACCCCCTTGTTCACCTAAATTGAAATGTCAGTTCTGTCCACAACACGCCCCATTCTTAATACTGAAATTTGTTTTAGGAGGATACGCTTTGTTCATAGGTTAAGACTTCCACAGCACCAATTAACGAAGTAAAATGTTCCCTGCAAGTCTCTGGTCAGAAGTAGTCAGAAGGAGTAAATGAGATTCTTTATTTAATACAGCTCACCATGTAACCACCTTCTGTTTTCCTCCTTTCTTCCAAGATGTCTTCCTTGAGCTTCCTCCTTGTTCTCAAGTCAATTTTACATTAGATCACTCCTCTTCAATTAGCGTTAGCAACAATAGTACTTGGTACTTTCCCCATGGCACTAAGATAATATGGTGAGGAGTAATATCAAAACAGAGAGATTTGGGAATTTGGTGCTAAATCCAGGTTGCTTAACAACAGTGCAAATAAAATGGCATCTTCTAAGAACTACACTTCCATTTGAGACAAGAACAGAATTCTGGTTGTCCATAATTCAAGAGATTCAAGATAATACCAAATATAAAAGCCGTATATTATTTTTAAAATGTAGACATGTGGTCTATGGGGAAAGATAGCTCAATGGATTGAGCACTGGCCTAGTAAACCTAGGGTTGTGAGTTCAATCCTTGCAGGGGCCACTTAGGGAGCTGGGGCAAAATCAGTACTTGGTCCTGCTAGTGAAGGCAGGGGGCTGGACTTGATGTCCCTTCGAGTTCTAGGAGATAGGTATACCTCCATTTATTATTATTACTGACGCAAACTACTGACACCTTAAGTTGTTGACTTAAAATAACATTTTAATTTTATTGACTTTTCATTGATGGAGTTGGGAGGGTGTTTGTTGGTTTTTTACTTTCTGCACTTCACTCAATGAAACTAAATTTGTCAGCTTCACTTTCTGTTTATAATCAGCTTTGGTTTCCAGTTATCGTCCTCTCATGAGAATCTTAGACTGTTTGTAGCACTGCCGGGCATTGAATATGTCCAAAACAACACATTTTCATGGATTCATCATTTTAAAAGTCAAGGAAATACTTTTCTAGTCATACTTGAATTTGTAAAAAAAACAAACTAAACATCCTCTTCCATTATTTAAACAAAATTTAAATGTGGGGCTATTGGGTGAGCTTTGTAAGCACAGTCAAAGGCAGTATACCTTAAAGCAATGAAGGAAAGGGAATAAGTTTGTTTTGTGTGTAAGCTCTTCAGGGAAAGGATCTGTCATCCGATTTGTGTGGTAAAAAGCTAGTGCACTTCTGGGCACTATTGGCCTCATCCAGTGTCCACGGAAGTCAATGAGAGTCTTACCAGGAATATCAATGGGTGTTAGATCAGCACCAATATAAATGCATGATGATAACAGAAAATGGAAATTACAATTCCGGCAAGACTGTCTCAAGGCAGGCAGCCCCTCAGCAGTATAAGTGGGAACAATGCCAATTCAATAGACTGGCATATAAATACAGCAGATGGCTAAGACACCACATGCACGTTTGAAATGTATTTACTAAAGGCCCATCTGGGACTACTCAGCTCTGATTTCTTTGCTTCCATATACCTATTGTCTGAAGGGATGCACTGTCCTTCCCTTATCTAACCTTCAGCTGGGTCAACATTCAGCAACAACAAAAAATAGATTCCGCTTCCATGTACGCAGAAATGTCGATCTAATCGAATCAAGCGGAATCATACTCTGGTCTTCCCCTTTATTCTTCCACAGAATGAACCAAACCAGACTTCCAGTTCCCGACCACAGATGGCTAATTAGGATCCTGGAATGAGGAAATCTGTTCAGTGGCCTTCTGCTCTTGGAATGGGCCCTCTGTGATGCAGCTGATACCGAGACCGACATACCTTTCATTGATTCAGCCTTTCCCTCACTCTCTACTGCGCACATGTAACCAAATTTAAACAAGCTGGACTTGCAGCTTCCCCTCCAGTCCAGATTTTGTATCATTACTTATTCTTCACTATGGGGCAAGAGTGTACATTGTACTGCACAAAGACATGAGTCACAGTCCCATGAGTCCCTAAGGAACTCTCAGTCTGATTCCAGCCCCGATGATACCGTATGCGCTGAGCAATGGTGCAAACAATAACAGGTGGCAGTGTCTAGGAAAGACCATCGCAGAAAGGCATTACACTCGAGGAAGATGCCTTGGCACTATTCCTCCTTCCTGGAACAACATCCCATGGTCGAGGAAACCGAAGCCCTTCATTCAACACCATCTGTGCAGCCATGCTTTCATCTGGGTCAGACCTGGCAGTATCATTAGTGCCCGCACGGATGAGCAGCATGGGGTAGTGGTCAGAGGGACAGATGAGCCTCAGCAACCTTTCAGCGATGTCTCAGATTCAGACTCCAAACAGGCAGCACACACTCCGGCCTAGATACTGGAACTAGGGGTGCAGAGGGTGCTGGCTTGAAGTGGTTTCCATCACATATAGGGTTTACAGTTTGGTTCAATGGCTCTCAGCACCCCCACTATACACATTGTTCCAGCACCTCTGCCCCCAGGAACATCAGGTCAGGTTGGCAGATGGATGCCTCCATCCCTCTTAGAAGGGAGTCCCCAACCACCAACACTCTGCATCTCTTGGGTGTGGTTGCCGTGACCCTCCCAGCCTTGGGGACCAGGGGGTCTCTTCTTCCTCAGCCTTGGGAAACTGCTTCTCTGCTCCTGTTGACAGAACAGCAAACTGGTTCTTGATATTTATTGCATTGGGACAAATTCTTTGCAAGTTTAAATTGGCACAGCTCCATTGACTTTTACTTTGCTAATGCTTAGCTCGGTGTTCTTCACTATTTTTGAAGTGGGGGCGACTTTGGCAAAAAACCTTCAATGTGACACAGACAGTGGAACACATACCCAACACAGACGGTTGAACACTCCGAGTTCTTTGTTGGTTGATATGGTAATATCACCGTTATTGGTAATATTGCTTGGGGTGCAGGAGGGTGTATGGGGGGGCTGGCTCTGGGAGGGAGCTCAGGGCTGGGGCTTGGGGTGCAGGAGGGGGCGAGGGGGCTGGCTCTGGGAGGGGGCTCAGGGCTGGGGCTTGGGGTGCAGGAGGGGGTATGGGGGGGCTGGCTCCGAGAGGCTGCAGGTTGGGTGGGGGACGAGTTATTCAGAACCTGCCCATTGAAGGGGGCGGCACTTACTTTGGGCGGCCCCGGCCCCAAGCCACTCCTGGGAGGGGCCAACGTGCCCCCTGCAGCCCCTGGGGCGGGCACATGGCTCTGTGCACTGCCCCTCTCTGCAGGCACCGCCCTCGGAACTCCCATTGGCCACAGTTCCCTGTTCCCAGCCAATGGGAGCTGCGGGGGCAGTGCTTGCAGGCAAGAGCAGCATGCTGAGACCTCTGTCCCTCCACTTACCCCCCGGGGGTGCGCTGGCCGCTTCCAGGAGCAGCGTAGGGCTGGGACAGGAAGGGCACCTGCCTTAACTGTAGCCCCACTGCATCACCGGAGAGTGCAATCAACTGGGAGCCACACTTAGGGTCCATGGGAGCCGCCAGTGGCTCATGGGCCTTGCAGTGAAGAACACTGGCTTAGCTTATCCAGTAAGTTTAGCTGCCTGACAGAAGGATACATAGATTTTAAGGCCAGCAGAGACCATGATGATCATCTAGTCTGACCGGCATAACACCAGCCATAGAAACTCACTCAGTAATTTCTGATATGGGAAGAGATGTTACTCAGATTTCATACCCCCTTGAAAAGACATCATCATCTAAGACTGGAATCACATATTCCATGTATATAGAGATTCCATATGCTTCTATTGAGCAAAGTTTAATCTTCATCTCAATGTGTTCACAATTTGTAAGTAATAAAAATGGACCTTTTTTCTCAAAAAGGTAAGTATATTTCGTGAACATTTAAAAAAATCACTTTTTTCCCCACAATTTTCTGTGAAAACTTTTGGTTTTCCAGCATTAAGCAATCAACATGATTTTTTTTTATTTTATTTTATGTTGGGGGTGGGAAACTTTTTTCCACCAATAGTTAAAAAAGGGGGAGAGGTAAGAGTTTTTTGTTGGAATTTTTTTAGCTAACTTTAAATAACGCCTCCTCCCTCACGTAACAGTGTTAAGAGGAAGATGATTAGTGACAAAAAGTATTTGCAACCATTTTGGTTCTTTCCATTTCATTTCAGCTATGTTCACACCTCATTGTTTGCTTTTTGCAAACATTCATACGCTATGTTTGTGGAAATCAATGGTTGTGCCTGTGGCTAAAATATTCACTTAATAAACAAAATTCAATTTGTGACTAAATAAAATTCATTTCAGGCAGAAGCAAAGTAAGTTACAAAGTTAAGGCCATCCATCCAATCAGCACACAGAAACAATGCCATGTGACATAGCTGACTATGATGGGGTTTAACCCCCATTACCTGCAAGGCAAGGGAAGAACCCCAATTAGACATGCTCTGCACCTGGGCGGGGAAGGGTGATTAACCAATTGCCTCCTGGTCAGAGGAAGCAGAGCTAACCTTATAAGTAGCCTGAGGGAGCTCAGTTGGAAAGAGACCACAGCGGAGACAGGTCTCCTTGGAGGAGCGAAGCCCTGGGACAGGGTTTAACCAGACAGATAACAACAGAGGAGGAATACTACAGGAGTAGGTTAGGCTTCTACCGGGGAAGCTCTGAGATACAGCTTACAAAGGAACTCCACTGAAGCCTGAGAGAGGCAGATGAGCTATTACTCTAAAGATTTTCTTGGAAGGGGTTTAGACTTTTGTGACCTGGCTGGAGGGCCAGAACACAGAGGGGGAGTTGAGAGAAGAAGCAGGTCTGAGGGAGAGCCCAAGAGGGGGTGCCAGAGATGAGGACTTCCTGTAATGCTGTACCCAGGCATGAGGGGGTGCCTTAGAGGTGAGGACATGTGCTTAGGGTGGCCAGTCCCATGGTTCTACTAGCAAACTGTCAATACTGAGGGCTGGATTATAAATCAGAGTAATTTGTGGAGTGAGGTGCTATTCAGCATGAATAAGGTAGTAGTGTCCGGCCCTGACTGACTGTTCAATATAGACAGTTGAACAACTTAAGAGCTGAACTTTTTGTGTGCAACACTAGCCAGGTGTGTCTTTGTCCCCCTCTAGTGACTGGACCATATAAAGATCCTTGAGTCTGCCATTGCCCCCAGGCCAATGAATCCACATTTTTGTTTAAACTCATTGGTCCTTGCTTCAGTCCCTGCAAATGACCCATCCCAAGGTGGTGTTATATTAGCAAAAACTAAATGCCTCTGACTTCAGTTTGTACAGCCTGGTTGCCATTAGCCTCAATTTATATGGTAAAAAGGCAAGTAGCTTATACAGAGGTCCTGAAACTTTCCTAAACATTGATAGCTCCTTTGGGAGAGACCCTGAACCATTTATTTTTCTTTGCAAGACAATTAATAAGTGATCGCTTACAATACGGCCTCCATACAGCTACATTGTTAGTTTCACTCTCATTTGATTGAGTTCCGTTATTAAGACTTCCTTCCCTTCTCAAAACCACCCAACCAGGCGCATACACAGCATGCCAGGTGCAGACCTCCACTTATGAGCTTTTCTCAATTGGTTTTGCTGGCTGCAGCTGGCTGCCTGATCACAGGCTGGAATTCCTGTGTCAATGCTTGTAACAGCTGTCTCCTTTTCACAGGCATTCCTGATTTCTTTTAAATGGTTATTTCCCTCATCCCACACCCCTTCAATTGTGGTTTAACGAGGTCAGACTAAACCACAATGTAGGCAATTTTACAGCATTTTCAAGAGCAATTGTTTGCCTCCATCGATGAAATCAGTGGCTGGGAGCTCAGACCACTTAAAACCAGGCCACTTATTTAGGTGCCTCAAAAATGGACTTAAGAGCCTAACTTTAGGCAGCAGTTTTGAAACCCTTGGCCCAGCAAAACGTCTTCTCCCGAAGATAAGGGCTACCAGGTTCCTAGGAGGAGTGTCATCTACTGCGGTGTTTCTCAACCCCAACGGATCACGAGATGGGTTTAGGGGGGTGCAAGTGCAGGGCTGGTATAAGGGGGTGGTAAGCAGGGCAATTGCCTGGGGCTCATGCCATAGGGGGCCCCGCAAAGCTAAGTTACATGCTTCAGCCCTGCCGCCCAGGGCTGGAGCCCAAGACCGAGCTTAAGGTAAGGGGTTGCAATTGGTCCAAGTATTTAGGGGTTCCTTTTCAACAACACAACACCGGCTCAAGCCCCCACCAAGTGACCTGGGACAATTACACACCACCCCCTGGGCATCTCTAAGAGGCGATACTTCCCCTCTTGTGTAGCAAAGCAACTTTTAATAAAAGGAGAAAAGTAACTGAGCATTAATTTGGGAAAACACAGCAAACAGGCTTGCATCTGAAGAAGTGAGGTTCTTACCCACGAAAGCTTATGCTCCCATTACTTCTGTTAGTCTTAAAGTTGCCACAGGACCCTCTGTTGCTTTTTACAGCAAACAGGGTTCATAAACATAAACCATGAGCAAAAGACCCACCCCCAAGTAAGTTGGGCAGTGTCCTTTTCCCCTCAGGTTCTTAAGTCCAGCAACCAAAAGTCCCTTTAATGTGCCTATCTCTTCTCTGCACCCCACTCACAGTTGTTATCCTTGGTCAGTGAAGACCCAGAGTTGAGAGGCACATCTGCTGAGTTCACCTCCCACCCTGGGTGGTAGTGTGGGGGGTAAGAAGGCACCTTACTCGCTCCACTGCCTGGGCACTTGCTCATTACTCCTCTTCGTCAGCCACCCTGCTGGATAATCAGCACTTCCCACCTCTCTGCCAGCCACCCTACTGAGAAGTCCCCACCAGCCGCCCTCCTGGCCGACTGCCACAGCTCTCTGCAGGACTCTGCTCCAGTCCTCTCCACTAGCAAATTGCTGATCTGCCAAGCTGTCTTCAGGTCCCACCACTTAACACAACTCTCAACAATTTCAGCTGTTAGTGGGAGAGCCTCACTGCTGGTGCACACCGGGCAGTCTCTTGCAACAGAGACACTGTCCCAAAGCAGGTCTAACACTTATACCTAGATATCAGTGATTTCAGCTCTGCACCATGCAACAAGACTCTCAATTAAGTCTAAATTAGCTCATTCATTACACAATGAAGTTAGGCAGTGTCTAACACCCTTAAGCAGGACCAACCCAGACACAGCTATCTGTCCCCACCCTCTTTCTACTCAATGGGCTTTGGAACCCATGTCCCCTGCCTAGAGAGTGCCATTGAGTTGAGGGTGAGTCCCTCAATCAGGGTATGTCAAGTACAGTTCTGCTGCCCTCAGTTCACACAACAAGGATAACAACCCTTTATTACTCCTGCCCCAATAAGAAGGAGACTGGGGATCCAATACCAGCCAAAAGTGATCATTTGGGCAAGTAATCCCATCATGCTGAGCACCTAGGCAAGGTGGGTGTGCCCATGCAAACGAGATCAGCTCCTGAAGTCCTCTTCCGCAGCTCACCACTAGATGTCAGGGGAGAGCTCATTCAGACTCCGCTTACACTAGCAAAGAAAAGTAAAGCTTGAAAACATGCGCAGTGCAACCAATGCACTGATATCTGCCTGCCTCTGCAGACAATTTCCAGCAGGGGAAGGAAGAGCAGCCCCTAGAGCCGAGGAAGGAGATTCCTGCTGCCAGGCTTACTACCACAGCCCTTTTTCTGGGAAGGGGGCCACTGCCACCACTACATGCTCCAAGACAGACTATGACGAGAGAGCCTACTATGAGGGGTGAGTGCCTGGAGCCTTGGGCTACCTTAATCCAATCCTCGGTTGTGTGCCTCCCCATCTGTAAAACGGGGATATTATTAAAACCGGGATATCTATAAGCACCTAGAGGATAATAGGGATATAAAGAGTAGCCAGCCATGGATTTGTCAAGAACCAATCATGCCAAACCAACCTAATTTCCTTCTTTGACA